AGCATCAATTGTTACGGAGCTCCAAGAAAAAAAAAAAAACCCCCCACTCAATCCATTGATTGGGTCGGGTCGGGTCTTGTACACGAGCTAACTCGAGACCCAATTTAACAGGATTGACCACTTTAGCTAAAGCATCGACTGTCATTGAGCTGATTTGACCCTCATCATCAGCGACCCCGTCTCGATCCTAGGCATGGTCGTAGTCCTCTGTTGTCTTGTTTGTAGAGACAACATTATTATCAGCGACGACAACTTATGAAGAGAGAATCCTCGTGGAGGACATAGACCACATGAGGGGCAAGGTGAAGATGGCGATGGAGAGGTTGAAAATCTCTCGGCAGTGCCAGCAACTCAGACCTTGATCACTATGAGACGATGTTAGTGGTCGCGTGAAATTTGCTCGCCCCCCTCTCTCTATTGCGATCTCAAATCTTCGAATTTGTGCCGCCATGCAGAGAGGACACTGGTGGTGGTCATCTTCGATTGCGGCTACCATGGCAGCAGTAATCGCTAGATCTAGGGTTTTCCTTTTCAGTTTTTCAATGTAATGGAATTTTCTAAATTTTAGTTTCTTATTTCATTCAATTTTTTTTTATCTATTTTCCAATCTCATCTCGAAACATACAAAACACTTGATAAGATTAGATAAGCCCGCATCACTATCCGGGGATTTTTTTTTATCTCACTCTATCCAATCACATCTCAATTCTCGTCCAGAACGTCAATCGCACCCTCAATGCTTTACCTTTTTCCTTTGCCTCTTCCTTTCTTTCCATGCTTCCCGCGCTTGAGAAACATAGATGATATCCCGAAATCAATGTGATTCGTTCCGAAAGCCCAATCCCGATAGATGTAATTGCCACTAATGTCAGCCTCACAAAGTGGAACGTAATAGGGACACGGCCATGCGAATATCTTCAGGTGCGCTAACCGGGACCTGCACGCATGGCCATCCTTTCTTTCTTTTCTTTTTTTGGGGGAGATTATATTCGAATACTTTCTTCCTTTAGAGATTTTTTTCTGGTCTTAGTGCCCGGGGCCTACTTCTATAGACGGGATTTGATTATTCGAATTGGCCTCGATACCGACATTCGATAATTCCTAAATTGATTTTGTTTCCGCGTTACTAGATTGAGCAAATCGGGAGTTGGATTGAATATTTACTTGCGAGGGCCCCCACTTATCGACCAAGATGGGGCCTCTATCGAGCGGCAGATCAACGTACGACCTCCACTTGTCGTCTCGCGATAGGTGGACCAAAATTTAGAAAAGGAAAAGTGGGGTCCAAGATTTGAGATACTGAGTGCTGTAATTTGGGCGTGGCATGTGGTCGAAGCATCTGTCGTGCATTCTTGGACACGTGGCGTGGTGGACGATGGGTATACATGAGATGCCTTCTCCGACGTTAAGATACCTAATTAATTATTGGGTTAATACCATAAAAAAAAACCTAAACTGATACATCTGTTGTGACAATTTTATCTTTCGCTAGTTTTCGTTAAATTTTACTTTCAAATTTCTGAGTTGTATGACATATATGACAATTGACTGGTATACCGGTTTGAGGTTTTACTATCAACCTAAATTGATACATCTGTGACAATTTTATCTTCCGTTAGTTTTCGTTATATTTTACTTTCAAATTTTTGAGTTGTATGACATATGACAATTGACTGGTATACCAGTTTGGGGTTTTACTATCCATTTGTTACTAGTATGCCGGTTTGTGGTTCTTCATTGTATTAATTCAATTTAACGGATGGTAAATTTGTCACGACTATATCAGTTTGTGATTTTTAGTAGTTGTCACAAGTGTACAAATTTAGAGTTTCATGATATTTACCCTTAATTATCTGAGAGAAATAAAGATGTTTGATCAATTGAAAAAAGAGAAGAAGAGGGAGGAATTAATGATTTGAATATGCCACCCCTCGAAGAAACGAAATGAAGCGATCGAAGACTAGGAACTCATGCGAAATCGCGAGATCCATACTTCTTTGACACGGTACCAGAACGCAGTTCGAAATACAACACGAACTCATCCGAGAGAGAATATGAAGTGCACAAATGAGTGACCCATCAATAGAAATGGTATTGCCAGAGCATGACGAAACTTATTCGCATCGATTGATGTCATCTCGGCAGATTCATGTCAAGTCGCGATTTTTCTCATAGAAATTCATGTCGAATTCGAATCGTGTTGTGTCGAGAATCGCTGGCCTTACATAAATTGGCAAGTTTTAAATCATTCCCTGAACAGGAATTCTTATGATTACCATCAGACCCTTTTGATGTAAATACGAATCGGAGGACACGACACCGGGAAAAATCCATCAAATCGTCTCGGAAATTCATACAAAACACAGCAAGAAACTTTGAAAGGACCGGTAAAGAAAAACCAAAGAGGCTTTGGACATTCTCGAAGAAACGACGAAACCACTGAAATCTTACCCTCAAACCCCAGCATCGATGCGCAGAGTACGTTGCCGTCTTTGTCGGGATGGATGAAAAGCAAAAGCCGAGAATCTCGTCGCCGGGCCACAAACTTTCGACGCTGTCCTTGACGTTTCCTTAAGATCCGACCCTTGGTTGATCGTAAGGTCATTGATATTGAATCAAGGCGATGATGATTATTAATCCACTGAATCGAAAGTTTGGTGGTGGGCCGGTGAAACATAGTCTTTTTTTAATGAAATTTGTGCCCCCAAAAAGAGGCTTTACGTAGTGGAAGGTAGCCGGACGGGCAGCAATTATAGACTTATCAGGGACTAGAAAGGTTGATTTCGATCTCTTACTTATGAATCCACCTGTAATTAGTATTGTTCGGAGGCATCACCCATTGCCTTTTTTTTTTCCTTTTCGCGAGATATAATCTGATGCAGATTTTGTTATATTTGATTGCGTGCATATCGTGAATTCCCGTTGTATCGATGATAAGGTATTACTTCGAATCGTTTCCAGATTAAGCAAGTACCGTTATATTGAAAAATTGCTCTAACCCTATCGAGAGATTGGACTATTAGTTTGACAAAAAGGAATTTGACTTCACTAGTTTTTCTTTTTTAAAAACGAAAAACTCCACAAGTTAGGTAAATTCCGAAATCGTGGAATTCCTCACCAACTCAACAACCCAACGGGTCAAAACCTCCAAACGTGATCTTGTTTGGTTTTTGGTGGTGAGGGGAATCGAATCGTGTCACCCGCTTGATTTGCAAGGACAAATCTTTTTTGTCATCACTAAGCCAAAATTATGGGATTTCAATGGTCACAAGAAAAATCAACACACTCATCATCACTCCCAAAATATTTTTAATTTAATTACTAGGACCTTCTCTTTTGAGCAAAATCCAACTTCGAACTCATTTCGATAGGTGATTATTACAGGTCAGAAGCACAGCATACGCAAGTTTGAATATTTCTCGAGACATTAGTTCCTCACTTATTTTACAAGTGATCGTTTTACAAAGAGCCGGAAAGAGATCTAAAGTGAGTTCTATTGAAGGGAGAACTCCGACCAACGAAAGGGAGCTGCTCGAGAAGGACCGATTAGAAAAGTCTTTTAAGAAATTCGCTAGTCGTAAATCTCACGCAACGGAGGACTCCTGTTTTTCTCTCCCGGGATCCAATTTCGAAAATTTTTCAAAGAAAAATATTCCGACTTTCCTTCTCTGTGGGCCGAAGAAACTCGGAAAGATGGCGGCACATACACGCGCACACAGAAACCGGGAAAACTTTGTCTCGTTCTCGGGCTTCTCGCCTAACCCGACACGCTTAACTCAACTCCCCCTAACCACCGCCCAGGTTGTCTCCTCCCGCGCCTTAACCCCCCCCGCCTCAGGCCTTTTAACCCCTCCGACGGCGACGGGACCGTGACCGAAAGCTCGATCCCGGCCGTCCATCCCTCCACGTCGCGCGGGGGAAAAAAAACGTCTCGCTCGAGACCCGATTGGGGGAATGTCAACGCATGACCTGGGCCACGTAACTTTTGTTTATGTTAGCCTAAGATGTTTTGATGATTTAGCGGAGGATAATCCTTTCTTTTTTTTTGGGGGGTCCGGGGAAAGCAGATTAATTTGTAAAACGACATGCGAGTCTCTTTCCACCGAACTGGGTTGGGAATGGTTTTAAAAAAAGCCTTAAATTGAGAGGGTAAATAGCTCGAACAACCTTAATATATTTGCGACAAATTTACTTTAAATACAACTGTGATAAATTTACCTTCTTTTCCGTTAAATTTTACCTTTAAATTACCGAATTAAATGACGCGTGATAGTTAACGAGTGTATCAATTTGGGATTTTATCTCCGTTTATCACAGGTGCACCGATTTGTGAAAAATTAGCCAATTTAACGGAAACTGACGGATGGTAAATTTATCACAAATATATTAGTTTGGAATTTTTTGGTGACAGAAAAATTAGTTAATAATAAATTTATCACAGACATACCGATTTGAGATTTTTTGTGTTATTAATCCTAAATCTAGAGAACCTGCTAATCCGGTCCGAGAAACGGTCCGTCGGGGTCGGAGCAGCGCGGGGTGGAAGCGAACCGGTTCGGGGAGCGGGGGTCCGGCTGCGGTAGCGTTAGCTTTTACTTTGCCGTGAAAGAAAAGTAATGAAAAGAGAGATAGGGAGAGGGAGAGAGAGGGAGGATGGAAGAGCGGATGACGAATCCTCAGTAAATGCGTTTTGTTTTATGTCCATCAATAAACGAATCCGAAAGAAACGAACTGCCGACCGGGAGTGTTGAATGCGTTCGCAGAAGGGACCCAATAAACGATTAGCTGGTGAGGGAGAGAGATTGAAGACGACGGGGTTCCTTCAATGGCGCTCGCGCTCGCGCTCGCGCTCTTGACTTCCTTCGAACGCTAGAACCGGGGAGGGGGAGGGGGAGAGAGGGAAGCGAATTCGCTGGGTTGGGGGGGATTCTGGGTTCTCGCTTCTGGTGGGAATCGGATCGACCCATCTTCTCCTTTTGGTCCATGAATTGGTGAGGGCGAGGGGGGGGGGACGACGGACTGAGGGAGCAGCGGACGGGGGAGGATGATGAGCTGGCGGAGGGTGCTGAAGTCCGCGCTGGCGCTGGTGGCGCACGGCCTCCTGTTCGCCTTCACGCTCCTGCTCGTTCTCAAGCTCGACCGCGTCGTGTTCTACTCCTGGTGGTCAGTACTCCTGCTGATTCGATGTTTGATGCGTGGGGGAATGTCCTGTTTTTCGTGCTTCTTTTTTTTTTTTTGGTCGTTGTTGTGGGTCGATGGTTTCGACGGTCGTTCTAGTTCTCGTTAGCTGTGTGGCTATGTTGATTGAGTCGTTGTGTGTCCAAGGTATTATTGATTGCGCGATTGGTTGGGTAGGAGCTGCGGTTTCTCGTTTTTCTTTTCTGGGCAAGGAACGTTTCGCTTTTCCTTTCCTTAATTCTTTGGTGGTCCGCATAATTCTTCCTAGTATAATCTGCAGTGTCTTCTTGACAGTGACTTGGGTTTGACGGAGTATGCGCATTTCTTGTATGCCAAATTAAGCACAAGATTATTCCAAACTGAAATAGGAATCCAGGAGTCGGGTTTCCTTTTCATGATTTAGGCACTGGGTTAAGGCTCCTGGGAGTTGTTTATGCTTATCATTGAGAATCGGCGGATGCAATCTCGCAACACGATTATATTGATGGGGAGAAGGAAAAAGTAGGAAATTATGTGAGGGTGGTGATCAATTTACAGTGCTTTAGCCATCAATCTTGTGTATTTATGTTACTTGTTTGTGCTCCAGTATGGGATGCCATGCAAGACTGAAGAAACCGGTGATTAAGCATGCAAAATTAAGTTTTCTAAGTTGCAGATTTGTCAGTAGCATGATGTGTGATCACAACTCTCGATGTCCTGGGTGTCCTTTGGAAACCCTGTAGCATCTATGTGCATTGAGATGTCTTCGACCTTGCTTTTTCACTATTACTTTTTTTGTTCCAGTAATATGAGGGTTAACATAAGGCGACTTTGACGTGCAGGATAATCTTTTTCCCGCTTTGGGTATTTCATGCAGTTGTTGCCAGAGGGAGATTTTCATTACCAGCACCATCAGTTCCCCATAATCGTCATGTAGGTTCAATAGAGCTTCCAAAAGTCTGGTTGTTTCTGCCCCGTTCATCCCATCTTTATTTGTTATTATGTCGAAATTTGATATTGTAGCAAGACTCTGGGACTTTATTGACTTTTCTCTCTTTGGACAGTGGGCCCCTTGCCATGCCATTGTGGCGACACCTTTGCTTGTTGCATTTGAATTGCTTCTTTGTATATATCTGGAGAGCGTTTATGGTACAGTCTACCTTCTTTGTATCATTGGTTTGTTAGACTGCGGATTATTGTATGTTTTTCCAGTTTTTCTGAGCTGCCATGCCCAGTCAGAATTGCTTACTTTGTTTATCTGCCAAGATTTTCGCAAGGAATATTGCGCTGTCTCATTCTTTCTACTGTTTCCCCATGCTTTTCTGTTGTCATGTGGATTCGTCAGATGATTGCCTTCATTCTCTTTTTCTTTGTAAGAGTGGTATATTCCTGAGAATTATGAACTGTCATTTTGAGCTATAACTGATCTCCTTCATTTTCTCTGTTTCCTTTCTTGTGCAGTTCGTAGCTACCCTGCTGTGAACTTGAAGATCGTCTTTCTTCCTTTGTTGGCGCTGGAAATAATTATTCTTATTGACAACTTTAGGTATGTTCTCTCGCAATTGTTGATTTATGTCACTATTGATGGAAGACTGCTAGACGTTGCTTTTTCTTTAAAGTGGTTTATTTTAATTTCTTTGCGAGCAATACATGTTCTCTCTTTTTGGCTTGTCCAGATCAATAAGATGGATAATGGCATGGTCAATCAAGAAATGAAGTTGTCATTATAATTATTTGGGTGTTATGATTGAAATTGTAGAAATATTGGTGGGATAGTTCCGTGGCCGGTTTGTATAAAATGGTCTGCATGCTTATATGGACTAATTTATACAGTCTTGGGGACCAGAATAAGTATTTGGATTGTTGCTTGCATATGCACTTGGGTGTTCTTATAGGCACCGTCTTACCATATTGTTTTGTTGTAGAAGCAATTGTCTTTCAACCGCATTAATCAGCGAATATGTGTCTGTTTAATCTTTATGTCAAATTCTCTTTCTATGCACTAGAAGCATTTTAACCGACAGTTCAAAAACTACTGAATGATTGGCAAGAAAAATGTCGCTAGGTATAAATATGTTAAATACCTATGACTCGATTGGTGATATTGTTGACTTCATCATCTTTCTCTTCCTGCACCATCAAGTATGACCTCACTGGAACTGATCTCGGAGCTTGTTAGTCTCTCCTTCTGTTGGTCTACTTTTTGAAGTTCTTTCAATCATCATGAAGACACAAGTATTTGGTGCTATAGCCTACAGTACTCTTTGGATTTTAGGTCTCTGGAAGCCTTTTCCTCCCATGCCTAGTGCAGTAGCAATTTGCTGAACCTCATGTCTGATAGTTAGCTCAACTTCTATGGTTTACAGAATGTGTAGGGCTTTGATGCCGGGGGACGATGTAAGCATGAGTGACGAGGCAATATGGGAGACACTTCCTGTAAGTTGTTTTAATTCAGTGAAAATATTAATAACCTATACCAGGACGCTGGAAAGCTATTTTTTGATACATGCTTTATATCGTCCTTTTGCGATATCTGTCATTCTGATTGCTTAGATGACAGTTCTTATTTTTGAAGTGTTAACTGTTACATTTTCTGGGATGTTGGCATTAATTATACGATGGGATGATGATCTGGTGGAATTACACTTTGGATGGCATACTATGGCAAGTTGTTGGGGTGTTTAGTAGGACCACCTTTGTATCTGAAATTTCTCCTAGACAGGGCATTGACCTGTCTCTTTTCTCAAGCATTTTCACTGATTTATGCTCTCTGGTGCCCTTTTTCTCTTTTCATACTTCAGTACTGATGAGTTGTCAATCTTTTTGCTGACAGCACTTCTGGGTTGCAATCTCCATGATCTTCTTTGTTGCTGCCACAGTCTTCACCTTGCTTAAGCTGTGTGGTACATTCAGCTAAACTTTTGTCAATCTTTGTTTGGTAACTTCCAACTAGAAGTGGTTCTGGTGATGAAGGTTGATGCTTAGTTACATAGTGAGAGGTGCTAATCCCACTTATTTATGTGGAGGTGGACAGGCAAATGTTGTAAATGTCCTAAGGGTCCTGCCAAAACATATATGATTGTCTTTCGTCACAGTCTGTCATGCATACACCGGAAAAAATATGTAGTAAAGCATTGTGGTTGTGATGTATTTTTCATTAAAATGTCAGTGATGATGTTTTACTTGTCCTGTATCTTTATCCCCTTTTTCCGCATATGTCTTTTTTGATATCTACAATCTTCATAGATGAACCATACTAGTCTTTACTCGTTCAAATTGAATTTAACTTGCAATTTTTCATAGAGCTAATATCTCCTGTATGTTTAATGCAATTTAGGTAGATCTTCTGCGCTTTATACTCGACAGTACTGCTAGACAAGTGGTTGTTGCTGATTTTTTTTATAGTAGTGGTGATTTCTCTAGTGTGGTAGTCACCTCTCCAGTTTTGACATAACAAATGGGATTTTTGTTGTCTGGATTCAGATGATTTATAAATTTAGTAATAGTATCATAGCTAAGATAAGTGGCATTTGCATCTTCTGAAAGTGCGACTTTCAATTAGTTTGACCATATATGTGTCTTCTCGAACATCTTGTAATTTCAAGTAAGTTTACAAATGTGATGGCAAGAATAGGGAAAATGGCTTTAAGGTACTAAACTCACTTAATCTCTTAATCTGAAGGAAAAAGAAGTTGGAAGGCTGCCTATATAACCTTCCAAAATCTCCATGTTAACCTTTTCTCTTATTTTGTTCGCAGGAGATGTCGGTGCTCTTGGCTGGTGGGACTTATTTATAAATTTTGGGTACATATTTATCAATCTCTGTTTGTTATTTTATCGTGTGGATTTTTACTGTACACCTGGAGTTTAGCCCCAGCTGTTAGATCTATGCAGCACCCAGTTTTTTAGATTCTCGGCGAATTATAGTTCAGCCTTTTCCATTCATCCTGGTGAATTTTGATTCTTGGAACATAAAATCTCCTCTTGTGGAATAAAGTCAAATGATGAGCGTTGATACTTTATTCCAACCTTTGTGCCTTGTTTGCTCCTCAACTGAACATCTATGTTTCCTGGGAGTTTTGTGACAAGATCAAGTAACATTGCCTTTTTCTGCAGCATCGCAGAGTGCTTTGCCTTCCTTGTTTGTACTAAGTGGTCTAATCCCATAATACATCGAAATTCTCGCATAAGGGAGCCTGGCTCATCTTCTGCAACTATTACATATCTTGACTGGAACAGTGGCTTAGTAGTTTCATCAACTGAGGATCAGAATGAGGATCGACTATGTGGTTTGCCAGAAATTGGTGGCCACATTATGAAACTTCCAATTATTGGTTTCCAGGTCCTCCTTTGTATGCGCTTACAGGTGTGTACAAATATTGTTATAGCTAAGTATTTGACATCTCTCTCTGTTTTCGTTTTAAAAAATTAGATGCTATGACATGATGTTGGAACACTTTCTTTTGACAGTTTCTTTATTTGTTATAAATTTCAGGGAACACCTTCTGCTGCTAGATATATACCACTCCCAATTCTTTTCTCTCCACTGTTCCTTTTGCAAGGTACTGCTGTACTATTTGCTGCTTCTAGGCTAGTGGAGAGAATAGTTCTTCTTCTGCGGAGTGGTGCTGGTGCTGGAAGATACTTTATGTTTTCGTCAAGAGTTCATGACTGTCTAGCATTCCTGCACCATGGTTCCCGGTAATGATATGTTTAACTGAAGGATGCTATGCAAGCCATTGGACAAATTAAATGTGATCATCTGCTTTTGCAAGTTATTCTTACTGCATGTGTGACACCTGTTCCATCAGGCTGTTGGGATGGTGGTCAATTGATGAGGGAAGCTGCGAGGAACAAGCTCGGCTTTGCCAAGAGGGTGCTTCTGGGTAGGTTTTTTACCCTTTTGCATTTGAATATCTTCTTTGACTTGCTTAGTTTTCATTCTAGTGTTTTTTTTCCGGGGTCATTCTAGTGCTTTCACAATGCACTTTTTTTATGGTGTTTTCTTTTCCATTGGACCACACTTTTATCTCTGCAGCTATAACACCTTTTGTGGTTATGCACCAGAAGTAGTGAAAAAAATGCCTAAAAGGGATCTAGCTGAGGAGGTACGGCTCTCAGTCTTCCTTTCTTTGATATAACTACATTAGGAAGAATATCTTATTTTGATCCGCCGAAGACTTTGTCCATATCATATTTGTTAAAATAAGGAGTGACCATTGGATTTTTTTTTTAGGTTTGGAGACTTCAAGCAGCTCTAGGTGAGCAAACAGAAATCACAAAATTCAGTCAGCAGGAATTCGAAAGACTTCAAAATGTAAGGGCTTATCAATTGTTATTTTTCTGCCACATTTTCTGTTAACCATGATTAGTTGCAATTGTAGACATTGTCAGGGCTCGTAATTTAAGTTTCTGCATCCACCATAGATGTATGTGAAAGGCGATGCCTTCGCTAGCTTCACAATCACATCTAGAACACTTCAGGATAATCACATCTAGAACACTTCAGGAATTTCTTGTTTTCACATGGATCTTTACATCTGTTGAAGACTGATAGCTGGGAAATCATTCATTAAGAGGGTTGTGAGGCTGCAAAGTCAAGCTTATCCCCTTGGCATCGTTCAAAAGCAACGAATTGAAACATCCCCCGCACCCCTTACTGCCATTATAGGCCAAAAAGATTTGTTGACTTTTGTACTTTAGGGAGAACCCTCCTCCCAATTGCTCATTTATTTTGGATTGAGGCCCCAGCATTATGGATCATATAAGCCTTGGCTCCTTTACAGTGAACTAACTGATTACTGGAGTTAATACAATGTGGGACAGCGGAATTCTCATTTCTCCTTAGGTTTTCACAAATGTGGAAGAAGAAACCTTTGCTGAAGACTATTTTCAATGTATACTGGACGGATTTACGATCAGTGCAGTTTAATATCGTAACTTTTTTCTTCATTATTTGGCAGGAAAAAGTTTTGTGTAGGGTTTGTTTTGAGAGAGAAATTAGCATCGTACTGCTTCCTTGTCGTCACCGTGTTCTTTGCAGGTATGGTTATGTAAATTGGGGCTGTTTAAAGTTTCTCTCAGTTATTATATTTCCATATAGCGGATTTTCTCTCTTTTCCTGTATCAATTTTTGTTTTTCTCTATGTTGTGCAGTACATGCTCTCAGAAATGTAAGAAGTGCCCAATTTGCCGTGTTTCCATAGAGGAGCGGTTACCTGTATATGATGTTTAGGTATAATCTTGCAAATCTCTTTTCTCCCTTTTTATCTGATTTACTTTTTATATAAATCAGCTGGAGTGGGGCTAGCAGATGGTAAAAAATTCTTAACCATAACTGATGTTTATACGGATACTTTGTAGACGGTGTTACTGGTTTGAGTAAACACTAGCGAATTTTCAGAATAGAATATTCAAATCTGTTTTTGTTTTGTTCCATCTGTCTTTCATTTGCAATTGTAAATGCTCTGTACTTGTATCGTAAGTTCTGTTGACAGTTTTTGTGCTTGACTGCTTCAGCGCTACATTGTATAAATGGCATAGGTTGTGTAGATAGCTTCATCCTAATGAGCCAAGGTTGATTGCTCCTCTTGTGACTCAAATCTTTGTAATTTTTCGTGTGTTTCGTGGTAAATATTACATCTCTACTAATGCGATCGGTGTCACATGGCATTCTTTTTTACGTCTCTACCATTAGTATGGAGTACCAGTAGCATCAATCCTAATCTCCGATTAGTTCAGTGATGATCATCAATGGGATGATGTTATGGTTATTCGTGCATCAGGTCATCCCGTTCGTGTGAGTTACTCGTGTCATTTTGTGTTATTAAAATATTTCAATGTGATGTAATTTGTTTTTCCGGGCTAACAACAGGTTCAAAACGTGTCTAGTCGTGTCCGTTTTGAGCTAGTCGTATTACGTTGTGTTAAGTAGGGTTCTCAGGTCGCGTCAAAAGTTAATGGCTCCACTTGAGAACACTTGTAGTCTAAGAATTCCGGGTTGCCATTCTTTTACTTTTCATACACCCACCCACGTTCACATGCGTGTTCCCGCCCTGCCTCAGATTTCAAGTGAACTATTGTTTATTAGAAGTAAGGACTAATAATAATGACTCACTAGCTACACGTCTGCAGTTTGATTCGCAAGATGCTTTTTTTTAATCACGATTAGTAAGGCTGCGTATTGTTTCATCACGTACGAACATGACTTGGTCAACAATCCAACTGTGGAAGATGATCACAATAAGTAAAGGCGGTCTAGATCTTTTGAGATTGAGATTCAGACCTAACGTGAGAAAAGAATCGTTTGCACGACACTGCCAACAAATAACATATGTACTTTTACCTTCGTAATATGATGGCATTCAATAAAGAATTGTCGCTCAACTTATATGTATGAAAGTATGCACGTTATGTAACTTCTGCATAATGATCCAACGGATGAATTTCCATGGCAAGTCTTTCCCAAGAACATGAGTTAAGTCTCACCAACCGATACCATCTCAGGGTATACAAGTAACATGATCAGAGCTGAACATGAAAGAAAGATCAATTATTTAATTTTTTACGAAGACAATCACGGTAAACTTGGACATGACAACGCTATTTTAAGCAGGTTGAACCAAAGCTTGCGGCTTAGACTTGGACAAGATGATACCAACTCTATCCTGCATCCTCGACTGCCTTGGGCACATCCGCAATCTTCTTGGCGAAATCACTGAAACATTCATCTACCGTCTTGAAAGGCATGTCGGGATATAGGGAGGTCACTTCAACATCAGTCGGCTTGTCCAAAGAGTAATTGACTTGGCATCCCTTTATGAATATGTCATGGGTTAGCGCGGCGACGATACTTCGTGGGATCACCATTTCTACGAAAAGACGGTTCAAGGTTTTCATGAGTTCGAGCAAATCAAACTATACAAAGTTAATGCTGAAGGGTAGATTATTTGATGCACCTTGGGCAGCAGAAAGAAGGTCGTCTTTAGTAACGGTAACTCTTGGGAGCTTGAGCCCTATTTTCTCCTCCCACAAAGATGCAAGCTCATTGATGCTCAGGAGATTTTTGGAAGGTCGAAAATGGACCGTCTTATTCAGGGTCCGGTCATCGTCGAGACATTCTATAGTGATCTTCCCTATGTCACTGCCCTCCACGAAATAAGCTACGTGAACAGAGGGGCAGAGCATTAGGAGCAAGTCTCTTTGGATTGATCATCCGAAATCGAATCTAACTCAAAAATATCGACGAACCATGAGAACTATAACTTGATTGAATCTAACTTGACACAGAGCATGTGTACGTATTCAATACAGATTACACATAACCTCTTTTTATAGGGTAGCGAGTATGAATCCAAAAGGACCTTTTGATTCACGTGCTAGATGCTTAACTACGTTCCCCGATACCCGACATAACTCTTGCAGGGTTGAATATCTTGAATTGAAAATTTATATCTCAAACCAAGTTTAACCTAACAGTTCCACTTTACAATTGATGATCAAGATAGGTTCTACTGAAGTTTCTATCTACTTCTCAAACCTACTCCAACCAAACAGCATGGTTTCAAATAAGAATATTAAGCGAGCAAGTCTCTATTTAAAAAAAAAAAAACAAAACAAAACTGCTAAACAATATAAGTGCAATTTCAACTTTAAAATTGATAATCAAGATCAAACAACTTTTCTTTATTTAAGAAGATTAATCCGTATTTAATCTGCATGTGTAATTTCACCATCAAACAAATGGTCGAGAACTTATTGTGTGGCGTGATATGAGATCACGTCCCTCGTTCTTTAATCGTTTGAACCTTTCTTGCATTCGAAAGTTGTCTCGACATGACATAAAGAATTTAAGGTTGATCATTAACTTTCAAGGTGGCTCTCTTGGCGACATGCATGAGTGCATCTTCAACTTGTAAAAAGAGGCTGAATTATTCGATTGTTCACCACTTGTTTATTCACTGAACAAGACAACGAGCAAGGCCAGCGGGTCATACTCAATGGTTTCGACTCCAAATCAAATACCTAATTTCCCTACCGACAAAATAGTATCATGCTATTCACTATAATTATACAAGAATATATTACTAATTAATGCCACTAATATTTTGCGTATCAATTCTTCAATCTCGTTATTGAATTACCTATTAAATATTTCACATGCATGTTATTAACGGTTTTAAGTGCGACCTAAACATGATCATATGATACATTTCAGTACCTCACCCGATTATGTAAACCTCACAAGTAACGTAATATTTGTAAGTGATGCTCGTGCGAACCTTTGACGGTGCCATCACCATAGATGTGGAAGCAGTCCAATGGCGGGAGAATGTCGGCGGGATGGGTGTTGTCATGGTAAGGCCAGGCCGCAATCGAGTTGCAACAGATGTAGGTGTAGGGAACACTCGAGCCTTCAATCATCCTCCTCACTTTCCTCTTCTTCTCATACATGGCCAACCCTGGTTCTACTGGGTTTGCTCGTTCTATGTCGTGCCCGAATTCAGATGGCACAAACCTCTACTCAATAATAATTCACTCATCAGAACTCATCACTGAATAATTTTCTAGAGTATTTTGATGTTTCATCTATTGAATAGTATCTGTAGTTTTTGAAATCAATAATTATTCTTATTACGTGAGAAATAGTATGTGAAAACGTTACTAAAAATATCGCAAAAGTCACAATTCCAAGCTTCTATATTTGGCCAAAAAAGTATTAAAGCATAGCCTGTGTAAAGCATCAACTACACAAGCCATGTGGTCTTCTAATGTGTACATAACAACAAGCAAAGCAAATAAAGTTCAATTATGGAAAGATCTATTGCACACACAATAGTGCAAAATCTTCAATATTCTTTCATTTTTCTTCATAAGCAAAGAGCTGTGCAAAGTGTGACTTGTCATCCTAATCAATAATTGTGCTCATGTCCTGACAATTACGTCCAACTCGATCAATCACGGCGTATCATGAATGTCGAAAAATAATCTTAATCGCTCATCCATTACCAACTTGATTATAAGTTAGTTCATGATGGTTTATGAAATATAATGTCTTATTAAAATGAAAGATTTTTTCAACGATTGCAGTTAGATCATATATTCGTCCTTCTTACCAATCCGTGACTCTAAATCGACAAGAAATTAAAATTCTGGTGCGCCGAGAATGAATGGATGCGTCGTAAGTGGAAATAGTTTGATCGTAGAGAGAGAGATGGCACATACGGTACGATGTCTTGCGTAAGAGTTCAGGTTTACAAGTACAGGCCGAGGTTGCTTTCCATGGCATTAAACAGTATTCAAATCACATTGTGGGTGGTCCAAGGAAACGGTAGGTAAGAGAAGGAAAACCAAGAATATCCTTAAAAGTACGGTACACGAAATATGTCCTCAAAAAACTTTAATAAAAGGATGCATTCCCAAAAGAGCAAAGAAGAAAAATGAAATTGTTAGAGAGAGAAAAAATTTGCGAGACAATGATAAGAATAAGTGCACCGGAAGTAACTTGTTGCGAAACTGCAATCGAGTTGTAAAACTTTCGAATTGAAATTAAGTCCTAAACAATCTCACTGATTTAATAAGTTTTAGAACTTTGTTACATTGTAAATTTTCGACTTAGATTTCATTTTTACGATAACTTTTAGGATTTTTGGTGAAGTAACCCCATAAAAATGAAAGAAGCAACGGGGAAAACACCTTAATAGTGCCGACCGATTTGATGGCCTCAACAAGAACGAGCTGCTCTAAAATGCTGTCCCCACCAACTGCTGATATCACAATCTCAATCCTGTGTTCCTTCAATATCTTCTCCATCGTCGCTTTGTCATTTGATGATCCCTGAAAAAGAAACCCGTTTTTACAAAAACCATAAACAGCGGAAAAACTCCCAGGAAACTTATGTTTGAAGCAAAAATTTACTTGAAGTATGATGGCTCCTTTGTCTTGTAGAGACATGATAGCATTGGCTTTTGCCTTGCAGGAGCTCACGCGACCACCCCGGACCAGTAGGTACGTGGGCCGACCGGACGCCAGGCTCGCCTCCGCCACGAATCGCCCAATGAACCCAGTCGAGCCGATGATCAAGGTTTGGCCCCTCTCCTCGACTCTTGGAATTTCACTCCCCATGACTCTCTCCCTCTCTCCCTCTCTCTCTCTCTCTCTCTCTCGGAGTATATGAAGGAAGTACACACGAAAGTTCATCACACCTAAAAATGGCCAAGAGATGTTCCATTTAAAAGGAGGTATGAGCCACACTACCCTCCAAAGCGCAAGTCGATAAATGTGAGCTTTGCTTCATTTTGATATTTCTAAAAAATTGTCCCCGAAGTTATATACCTATTTGTCAACGTGATAATAGAGTCAATCTTAACAACAAAATTGCATGTTCTTCACGTATGATCGGTAGGCTTCCACGAAAACGTCTGATTTGATTTCACGTCCGCTCCACACTACCCTCCAAAGCGCAAGTCGACAAATGTGAGCTTTGCTTCATTTTGATATTTCTAAAAAATTGTCCCCGAAGTTATATACCTATTTGTCAACGTGATAATAGAGTCAATCTTAACACCAAAATTGCATGTTCTTCACGTATGATCGGTAGGCTTCCACGAAAACGTCTGATTTGATTTCACGTCCGCTCGACCGGTAGATATGAGGAGGGTTGATCTATACTTTGCTTAGATGATGATACTATTCAGACTTGGCGCGATCAGCTAAACCATGATTGAATCAAGCGACTTTGACTAATTGGAAGATTCTCTTTCCACGAATATGACGTAAAACCGATAGGACCGTATGACTTTAGGTATTTGAATTCCTTCCAAACGTTTCAAATGCCAGTGAATTTGATTAATAAATAACTGTGAGTTTTCTTTCTCCCATTGATCTCACGATAAGTTTGAGTCATTACCACATGCAAATCATTAATTTTTCTCTAACTTCTTTTTCTGAAACAAGTATATTAGAAATCCTAAAACTTATCGTGAAAAGTGCAATTGAGTCCTAAAATTTTCAAAAAATTTGTTCTAAGTCCTTAAATTTGTCAGATTGATAGTCAGATTGATGCAATCAAGTCACTTTGTTAGATTCTGAAAGAAGTCGAAGATAAAGAGATTTGAAGGGAATTTGTTGTATTTCTTCAACTTGAATTTCTACATATACACTGTTCTGTATATATAGTACAAAATATGGATAATAAAAAGGAAAAAATATATTCTAAGGAATCAACTCTAATTTAGATTGATTCATTCTAAATTTCTAATCCCTGGTTGATTTAGTGTATCAATCACAATCCGAATTGATTTCTGAATCTCGAGCACATCTTCCAAGAATCTCGAGCATATCTTCCAACACTCCCCACTACAAAAAAACAAGGGTTTTGCCACGAATTTTCCAACGAAAAATTTTGCAAAATTCATTGGAAAACGAATTTCCAACGAAATTAGCGACGAACAAAAATTCGTTGGTAATTTGTCGTCGCAAATTTTTGCGACAAAAAATTTAAATTTTCGTTGGTAATTTGCGACGAAATTTTTTCGTCGCAAAATTCGTCTCAAAATTTTCGTTGCAAAGTTCGTTGGAAAGTTCGTCGCTAATTATTCGTTGCAAAAATCGTGGCAAAATTTGTCGGTAATTTTTTGTGGTAAAATTCGTGGCAAAACGAATTTCCGACGAAAAAAAATTTGAAAAAAAATTTGTCGCTAATTCGGCGTTTTTCGTTGGTAATTTGCGACGAATTTTCGTTGCTAATTCTGCGACGAAAACAGAGTCGTGGCAAAATTCCGCGAACCACGCCCCCCCGGAGGAATCGCAGCCGCGATCCCCCCGGGGCCGGAATCGCACCATGGGTGGTCTGGATACGGGCCGACGAGGACAGCATCAGGGGGACGATGAGGGCCTTGATTTGCTCCTTCTCGGCGTCGGGGATCGGGCCCGAGGAGGCGGCCGGGGCGGCCTCGGCGTCGGCGGCGGCGGCAGCGGCGTGGGGGGTAGGCGAGGAGGCCCAGCGGGCGCGGAGGTGGTTCTTGAAGTTGATGGCGGCGGCCTGGCGGATCTGCTCGTCGACGGAGGGCTCGGCGACGAGGCGGAGGACGGCGAGGGCGTAGCTGGGGCGGTCGGCGGCGTCGGCGAGGGAGGACTCGGCCTGGCGGCGAGGGGCGGGGGAGGGGGAGAGGGTGTGGAGGAAGCACTGGGAGAGGAACTGGAGCGTCTCCTGATTCCACTCCACGGGGAAGCTGCAGCTCGAGCGAGGAGGAGCTCCGATGGCCCGGGGGTTTCGGGGGTCCGGTCGTCGCCTAGGGTTTTAGGCGAGATATTTTTTGAATGAGGAAGAAGCTATGGAGGAGGGTACGCGATTGCAGAGCCGTTCCAGTAGCACTGGTGCTGGAGGGAGGGGGGGTGGTGGCAGCGGAAGGAGGAAGACGGGGAAAAGTTGGAACTCTTGTGTTTTTTTTTGCCTTAATTTATGTTTGGGGCGCGATATTTTTTGGTTTTCGCGGTTTCGGCCCAGAATTTTTGGTGTTTGAATTTCGTGGCAAAATTCGTGAGAAATTTCCTACGAATTTTGCCACGAAAATAGTACACGGTGCAATAATTTTCCGACGAAACTTTAAATTCGTGGCAAAATTCGTCCGAAATTTCCAACGAATTTAAAAAAGACGCCAACATACCGCATATTTAAATTTCGTGGCAAAAGTCGTCGGAAATTTCCGACGAATTTTGCCACGAACCAACATAAGGGGTGTTTGAATTTCATGGCAAAATTCGTGGGAAAATTCATCGGAAATTTCCAACGAATTTTTCCACGAATTTAAAAAAGACGCCAACATACCGCATATTTAAATTTTGTGGCAAAATTCGTCGGAAATTAAAAAAAGCCACCAACATAAGGGGTGTTTCAATTTCGTGGCAAAATTCGTGGGAAATTTCCCACGAATTTTGCCACGAAAATAGTACATAGTGCAATAATTGCCCGGAAACTTTAAATTCGTGGCAAAATTCGTCGGAAATTTTTCGTCGCCAAAATCGTCGGAAATTAGCGACGAAAAATTTTTCGTCGCAAAAATCGTCGGAAATCTGCGACGAAAAGTATTTCGTCGCAAAAATCGTCGGAAATTTGCAACGAAAACTTTTTCGTCGCAAATTTTCGTGGCAAAATCCCAGTTTTTTTGTAGTGCCCCCTCAAGCTGGTGGCTTATAAATGTCCAAGACACCTAGCTTGCTTAATAGATATGCGTGTTGTCTTTGACATAGAAGTTTTGTGAAGATATCCGCAGGCTGTTCTATGGTTGCGATTCCTCTTGTCTCAATTATTTCTTCTTGGATCTTGTCTTGAGTGAAGTGACAATCCACTTCTATATGCTTCGTTCTTTCATGTACTATAGGATTCGCCGCAAGTTTGAGAGCCGCATCATTATCACAAAATAGTTTGGTTGGTCCTTTTATTTGTATCCCCAGGTCTTGAAGTAAGCCTCGTATCCAGACTATCTCACAGGTGGTTTTTGCCATAGCTCAATATTTTGCTTCAGCTAATGATAATAAGACGGTGGGTTGTTTCTTCGTTCTCCACGAAAGCAAAGACTCTCCCAGTTTAATACAATAACCGGTGATTGATCTTCGGCTCATAGGACAAGTTGCATAATCCGTATCACAATATGCTGTCATTTCCATGTTGCATTTACGAGAAAGAAGTATCCCAAGTCCTGGGCATTTCTTCAAATACTTTACAACCTTTAGAACAGCATTCATATGGAACTGTTTGGGATTATGCATGAATTGACTGAGTATTTGTAACGGCATAACATATATCTGGTCTAGTTATAGTCAAATATATAAGCTTTCGAATGAGTTTTTGGTAACTCGATGGGTCTTTAAGTATAGGATCATCATGTGGGGGTGCTCCCGCATCATAATCAACTGCAGTTAAGTTGACATTTTGCTCGATGGGAATAACAGCCGGTTTACACCTTGATAGACCTGCTTCCGATATAATTTCTAGCATAAATTTTCGCTGGCTAAGAGAAATCCCTTGGTCTGATTTGTCAATTTCAATTGCAAGAAAATATTTGGGCGATCCCAAATCTTTAATGTGAAATGTAGAATGCAAAAAACCCTTTAAGTCTTTTGATAGCAGCCTCATCATTTCCCATAATGAGTATGTCATCAACATATATCATCAAATAGATAGATGACATACCTTTGGTCCCGTGAATAAGGAATAGTCATGTTTGGATTTTTTGAAGCCTGCAGCTGTGAGTGCATTGGCAAATTTGGCATACCATTGTCTGGAAGCTTGTTTGAGGTCGTAAAGGAATTTGCGGAGACGACATACTTTAGACTTCCCCTATCTCCATAAACCCTAAGGAACATCCATGTAAATTTCCTCTTCTAAATCACCATGAAGGAAGACATTATGTATATCCATTTGATGTAGCGACCAGTCACGGAAAGCAGCAATAGATAAGAAGGAACGAACTGTGACATCTTTGGCTACTGGGGAGAAGGTTTTGTGATAATCAAAACCTTCTCGTTGTGTAAAACCTTTAGCTACCAATCGAGCCTTGTATCGTTCAATAGAGCCATCAGCTCTATATTTAATCTTGTAAACCCATTTGCAACCAATCGGCTTGCGATTAGGAGGTAGTGTCACAATCTCCCAAGTTTGATTTTCAATTAACGCCTGTAGTTCTGCTTCCATCGCCTTTTGCCAATGTGGATTAGTGATTGCCTCATCATAGCAAGATGGTTCTCGTTCTTCTGATATACGGCTAATGCAACACATATGTTCTGAGGAAAGCCGATGAAAAGAGACATAGGACGAGATTGGGTAATGAGTACCTGGTGAATTTAAGGCAGCACATACATAATCTTTAGTCCATGTGGGTGGACAGATGGTACGGCCTGAGCGTCGTGGTGGATCATGCTTGGTTATAGGAGATGATGGCTCATCAGCAATAGGTTGCAATGTGACAGGATGTTCAACTGTTTCATTCACGATCGAAACAGGAGTGAAGATCTCATCAGATATTGGAGACGATGCTGATGATGTTGGATGTCTCGGAGGTGCAGCCAATATATATTGAGGATCTTGAGAGAATTCTTCTTCAGATAAAGATCGACGAGAATCAATCAATTTTCCAGGATCTTCGTTGGAGGACATCTCATCATGGAATAGAAATATGTCTTCATGAAAAATAACATTCCTGCTCACGAAAAAATCACCTGAAGAAGGTTAAAAAACACGATATCCCTTTTGTAGACTTGGATATCCCATGACTATACAACGACGGGTGCAAGGACCCATTTTATCTCGAGGGCCCATTGTGGTGACGTAACATAAACAGCTGAAGACTTTCAAATGATTAAGCTTTGGTTTCTTCCCAAAAAGTAACTCAAAAGGAGTTCGTCCGCCAAGAGTCCGAGTTGGCATGCGATTGATTAGGTAAGCTACCGTGACCACACAATCTCCCCAGAAAGTTTCTGGGATAGAAGCTTGGAATTTAAGGGCACGTGTGACTTCCAAAAGATGACGATGTTTACCTTCCACAACCCCATTTTGTTGTGGGGGTGTAAGTGCATGAACTCTCACGTAGGACTCCATGGGAAGAGAAAAAGAAGTGCATTCATTGTTGAAGATTCCCTTCCATTATCGGTACGAATGCGTTGAATGGATTCCCCAAATTGATTCTTTGATAGAGAGAAGAACATTTTTAGATAGAAAAGTACTTGACTCTGTGATTACATTAGAAAGACCCATGTAGCATGGGAATAATCGTCTACAATCGTAAGAAAGAATCGAGAGCAATTATGATGGGATGTATGGTATGGTCCCCAAACATCAACATGTATTAGAGAAAAGATACTGTTGGCACGAGTTTTGCTAGATGGAAAAGGTATTCTTGATTGTTTTGCTAGGGGACAAACATGACATTGAGGATAAGGAAAAAATGCACTATGACCCATCCTTTGATGTGAAAGAAAATTTTTATCATTGGTAATCGTGTTACACAATGATTGTTTTATTCAAAGGAATGCAAGACAAATCGAATTCATATGGAAAGCTGGTCCAAAAATATAGTCATTCGGAAATATTACCTAAGCCCATCAGTTTGCCAGTCGAAAGAGGCTGAAGAAACAATCGAAAAAGACACAACATGAATTTTCCTTACAAGCCCTAGAGACAGAAATGAGATTGAACTGAAAATCTAGTATATAGAGGACATTTTGAAGGGTAATGAGAGGACTAAGATTTACGGTATCAGTCATTGTAACATATGTGACATTTCCATTTGGCAGTCGCACTGAGATGGGAAAGCTTAATTGCTTATGAGCATTGGAAAAGAAACTTTTATCATAGATAATACTAGCACTTGAATCAATTATCCATGCATTTCTTGAAACGGAATTTATCAGACAATGGGAAATACCTAAGAAACTTCCCGCCTTGTCAGAAGTATCCAATTTCTGCAATGCCTTCATGAGCTGCTGATATTGCTCATAAGAAATAGGTTGATTAATTTTATCAGCATTCGGACCAGTTGGTCCAGTGACCTGATAAGCTGCTGAGAAATCCTTTTCCTTTTTTCTTTTTTCTCCGGGTTTACCATTTAATTTCCAGCAATTATCAATTGTATGGTGTGGACGTATGCAATAATCGCAACACAATTTATCTTTCCCTTTTGAATTTTGTCCATAATTTTTTGATGATGTGCAAAAAATTGACCATTGGATGATTTGGTCATCCCTCTACCGTCTGATCCAGGCACGGGTAAAGAAAGACGCGGACCGTCCAATCAGTCAATCACTGCATGTGATCTAGGCCGTCCGCTTTGTAACTTTTAAGGGTTTTGGACTCATCATCAAACCCTAGCGCTGCTCCTCTTCCACTTTGGCCGTGAGTTCTGCTCGCCGGGTCTCTCTGAATGTGCTCTCTCTGCTCGCCGCGAGCTGCGAGCGAGATGCTCTCTCCTCCCTTCGTGTACTGCGACGAGGTAAGGTTCTGGCTTTCTTCTTGAATGGCCAGCTGGTAAATCCGCTCGAGCGAGGGTATGGGATCCATAGCCAAAATCTGGGATCAAAACGGAAGGTATGTATCGTTTAAAATGAGGAGAAATCGGGTTACCTTTTTTCCTTCTTTTATGTCCTTATACTGTTGTAAGGTCGATTCCGGTCCATCGAGTTTCCCTTCGGCCGCTTCCAATTCATTCCAGAGCGCCGAGAGCTTGTTGAAGCATGTCATGATAGACATGTTTCCTTGCTTTAGTTCTGTGAGTGTTTGGGCAAGCAAAATTTTTTTCGCTTGATCCAATTTCCCGTACATTTCCAATTATGTTTTCCCACATAATTTTCGAGTCCTCTGTTGAGGGTAATCCGGCTGAAACGTCTGGTGCTATGCAATTGTCGATCCATTTCGGACGCGTTGATTGCATTTTTTCCATTGTCGCATCAAACGTTCATTGGTCGGAACCGGAACGGTTCCATCAAGGAATCCATCCTTGTCCTTTGTAATGAGGGCTCGCCGGAATTCTTGTGCCCATATCGAATAGTTTTCGATTCCTGAAAGTTGATGTACAATGAGCCGGAGTTCTGGTCCATCGGCGGTGGAGACGTACAGCAGGTCATTAAGCTCCGGATGACCACTGGCAGCCACGATTGGATACGTAGGGATTTGTTCCTAGACCCGAATTCCCCGATTTGGGTATTTGGCCCGCATTGAACCATCCCGACCCGATGGTTGGGCTTGCCTCATCTACGATTGGTGGGCCTCTATCGAGTTGAGTGTTATTTCCGTGGCCCTGATTCCTTGGCCACTGGACATTTTGGGTTGGCCAGTAGAACCATGGATTGGGATATACCTGGACAAGCAGCCATTGAAAGTTCTGGCCCAAAATGGCTTGGCCCAAATTTGGATGGGCCTGGAAAGTATGTTGGGCCCAGATGGGCTGCTCCTGACTTGTGACGCCTTCAGCAGGTATGTTCAAGGTAGGATCTTGAACTTTTGAAACTCATTTTAAGGTTGACTCCTCTGAAGTATGTTCGTCAGAAGCTGATAGCTGATTCTGGTTCATGGTATCGGTAAAATTTTTTTTTTTTTTGTGTTTTAATGGCTGATTCAAATACTGATTCCCACGCCGGAGTGCTCACCTTGTTTTGCAGGTTTGTGTTTTACTGCAACAACAAGGAAGAAGGAAAAAAATTCAGCGGGCAATCTGGGGTTTGTGCGGAAGCTAGACCAGGAATTTGACACGCTTTGATACCATGAAAGAAGTCGAAGATAAAGAGATTTGAAGGGAATTTGTTGTATTTCTTCAACTTGAATTTCTACATGTGCACTGTTCTGTATATATAATACAAAATATGGATAATAAAAAGGAAAAAAATATATTCTAAGGAATCAACTCTAATTTAGATTGATTCATTCTAATCCCTGATTGATTTAGTGTATCAATCACTATCCGAATTGATTTCCGCATCTCGAGCACATCTTCCAAGAATCTCGAGTATATCTTCGAACATATTCATCCAATGTGACTAACGGAAAAGATTGACGTAGATTTTTATTGTTTTTTGAAGAGAAAGGTGCTAATGTGGTTGTCATGTTAGTCATTTTAGAAAAAAAATAAAGACATTAAAAGGAAAAAGGAAAAAGGAAATAAACAATAAAAAAAGGAAAACTTAGATGTTGTTTCGGACGTGTCCGGCAAGTTGGCGGCAGCAATGGTGACGAGAACAAATGGACGACAATGACGGAGCAAGCTCAGCCATGACAGCTCCAACTTCCAAGGTTCTTCAAGCTCGAGTAGCCATAGCCGCAAGTTTGATCCATTTGTTCTCGCCGTTGTTGCCGCCGCCAACTTCTCGGACACGTTCAAAACAACATATAGTTAAGCTCGAAGTGACACAATGATAAGGATTGGAATTCTCTGTTTTCGATAGTTTTCTTGATGGTTTTAGTTGGGTTGCGGCAAAATCAGCTCTATGCGCGAGCTCGGCCAAGGCCGGGAGCGCTGTCATTGCCGTTCACTTGGTCCTGTCGCCGCCACCTCAGCTACCACCAACTTGCCAGAGAGATCTACCACCATCCGAAACATCTAGGGTTCTCTTACTTTCCTTTTTTATGTGTTTATTCCCTTTCAATCTATCTTTTAATTTCTTTTAACTTTTTTAAATTGGCTAACATGGCAACCACGTTAGTATCTCTCTCTTTTCAGAAAATAAAAAAAAGCTACATCAGCTTTTTCCGTTAACCAAATTGAATGGAGCTAATAGAGGGATTTGATTATACCAATGATAAGTTTTATAACTTGATTGCACTTTTTGAAAGTTTTATAACTCGATTGCACTTTTGCGACAAGTTTTAGGAATTCTGACACACTTATCCTTTGTTTTCTTTTATCAAGCAAAGCGGTTTGAAGACGTTTATTTGTGAGTTTCCCTTATTTTTAGTCAATTCTCTATTGAAAGGTGTTGGGTTTTAGATAGCGGAACCGTACCTTTTCCATTCCATGATCAATGATTGTTTCACTTTGTTGACACCTGAATTTGGCTATTCCATTTAGTCAATTATCATGTGAGAAAATTAGGGGTCGATCCCTAGCCCTAAATAAAAATATCATTTACATGGTGTTTCGTCGAAAATGATCCTAAACGAAATATCTCTGACTGAACGTTGGGTCTCCACCTTTTTTGTAGGAATCGAGTTGTATGGCGATTCGGACACGAAACGATCGGTATGGCTATTATACGAACTAGACTAAACAATAAAGAATGCAGGTAAAGTAACTTGATAAGATAAATTCCTAAAAGAATCGTTAAGTGCTATTGATTGTGAATCCTTTACAATTGGTTCACTTTGACCTTTTATCGGTTCATAAATAAGGTAACCGTGAAAAGTGGTTATAGTTCACATTCCAACTCTATCTTAGATTCTTGGCCTCGATTCCATTTGCCAATAACCGTACGATCTTATCCATTAGCGTTATCATTTGGCCCCGTCTCTACTTCGACTTTTTTCATCAAGTTTACAATCGGCCAGCTTTGTCAATTCTCGATCATCACTGGTTCTTGTCGATAGCAGTCATTTATCTTTGCCATCGATTTGTTGAAATAGTTTGCTGTCAATTTGTTGACAACACACCACGTATCTTCTCCGAATTATAATTTGAATAATTTTGGGTGTCAATATATTTCCCCTTTAAAAGAATTTTAAATCTTTTGAGTGCATCAATATGCTAGGGTTTATTCTTGGGATTTCTAACAAAACGCAAACTAGACTACTCTATTACTCTGACAATCGCTTTATGTTCCCTGTTTTGATGGGACACGTAGCTTTGATCAGCGCGATCTTTCACCCTGCTTTCCGCCGATCTATAAGACTGTCCTTTGGTATTCAATTTATCTTTTTGCATTGCATCCAATATTGCATTTTTATCTCAATTTAAGACTCCATCATCTTCAATCTTTTATTTGCTTCGAATTCTAGGTAATTTTCTTTTCCAATAACACCCCCATGTCGTCCAAAAGTGATTCCTCTTCATACTCGTCATCAACGTTCTTGTCTTGTTTTGATCATTGACCGGAGAGCAAAGACAAATACAACCTTTTTCCATCGTTGCTTAATCCTTAGGATTCGAATTTGGCACTATGAACATTAGGTCCTACATCCCCGTATCTCTCTAATGTTGCTTTTCGCGATACCAAGAAGAGAAGCTTCCTTTCCAAAAGGAAGACATCATTGAGTTTGTGTAAACCTCACCATCGTAACGCTTTAGAGCCTTCCCTGCTTTTGACCCTACTTTTTACCACTAGTATTTAAGGATAAGGTCTAAAAAAGAAGCTGTCCGGTGATCTATCAGAATTAATAAGGTCCTTCATTTCTATTGCTTTGATTGGAAACTCATCCTAAGTCTATTAGGTGGACTAACCAGCTTCTGGTCTCCATCCACAAATTATTTCTTCCTTTGGTCTAGGCCTATGATTGCTGTCCGATAATCTATCAGAATTAATAAGGCCTTTCTATTCTATTGTTTTGATTGGAAACTCATCCTAGGTTTATTAGGTGGATTAACCAGCTTCTGATCTCTATCCACCAATTGTTTCTTCTTTTACTCTAGGCTTATGATTGCTGTATGGTGATCTATCATAATTAATTAGGCCCTTCTATTCTATTGCTTTGATTGGAAACTCATCCCAGCTTTATTAGGTGGACTAACCAGCTTCTGGTCTCCATCCACCAATTGTTTCTTCCTTTGCTCTAGGCCTATGACTGTTTCTCTTGTTTATTTATGTGCTAATACCGGCCTTAGCCCTTGGGGAAAAGACTTAGGTCATGCTGACTAGCTAAATGTCCGTTCTTCAAATACCTTAAAAATGCCTCTTATGGTCATTTTATGAGTAAGTTTAGTAAATAATCTAGAGAGGTCATCCAAGAAGAACGCACGGCTTTCCTTTTGCTTAGGCTATCAAAGTACATCTTCTATCACTTAGCACTACAGGTTTCTAGAGACCTGGCGAATTTGGCCTTTACCTTGCGGAATGTAAGCTTTTTGCGCTTGGGCGACTAGTTTTAGCTGTTCGTTACAGGGCTCAAACCATGCTTCTCTGTCGATGTATGATGATATCTCTGTTAATTTTTACGGCCCTTTTTTGGATTCTTCAGGCCTAGACACAACTTTATTTTCCAGCCTATTTTGAGGAGCAGCACATTACTGCGTAACAATGGTACCAGTTCCGTCAATGATCTTCTGAGTTTGAAAACTTTGGTTTGATGGTACTTTGTCGCCCTCAGCTACTGACTCATCCTGGCTTCTCTATTTTTTCTTGCTTCTTGAGGCACTTTTTGTCCATGGATTCGAGTAGTTATAATTTCTGTCTAGCTTTTTTATGCAATCTCTACTCGGACCTTGATCTTGTTATATCGGTTGAGGAATTTTAGACTTGCGCTTTTGCTTCTGTCGATCTGCCTCTCAAATTCTCGAATCAGGGAAAATTTTATCTTGGCTTCGAGGTCAATCACCCTCAATTTTATGCGCGGCAATTTGGGCTCACTTAAGAAATCTTGATGCACTGTATCTATTCTATGGGGTTCCTTTTTCAACCCTAAGCGCAACACCCCACTCGCCAAGCCTTCTATTGCTAGAGGGAGATTGTGACGCCCCAAAACATACGTGCGACACTTGTCTTTTCTAGTTATTACTCACTAATTATTATGAGCATGCTGAAGCACATTAAAGCATTCACAAATATCTCATACAAAACGATCACACGAGTTTAATAAAATACATATGCATTTTCCTTATATTAACATCAATATTGCAATACAACTTCCAAGCAAAACACAAAATATATAACTTCTGGGAAGGGTCAGGGTTACCTAACTTCAACACTATACTCCTACCCAAAAGTCTCTCCGGACAAAAGTCAAGTAACCACTACGGGTTGGCAACTTCGCCCATCAATTCGTTGCCATCGTCATCAAAACCCCTTAACGGTCTAACTAGTTCACCCTCAATGTTCAAGTACCATGCAACAAATCGATTGGAAATCCACTCTAGAAGCCCTACGTCGACCCATACAGTGGAGTTGCTGACTCGAGTATAAACACTTTCTGAACACACTTGTAATGCATGAGAGCTCCTAAAAGCAGTGGTGGTGGAGGATCCATCCTATAGATCTGAAAAATAAAGGAGTGAGTCGAGACCTAGTAAATGAAATCCCTAAGTCTAAGGTAATAGATCCACTCACCACTTAACGTGGTATCAACAACAATTGTGAGTTCAAGGCATCATAAAACAATAATGAATGACGAGTGCATGAGTAAATGTACTATATTTCCTATCATGACATATCAATGAAACATCAACAACATTGCATAAGATCAATCACTCATTGCACAAATATCACATAATATCTCATCGATTTACACATATAAGTTTATATTCGTCGCTGGTCACGACCATCTCGATTCATGAATCATCTTGATTAATGAGGTATCGTGACCATCAACTCACAGAGGACAGAAACATACATACCCATTTGCCATGTCTTTTAGCTTATCCATCACGGGCGTCATCTACATTAGCCAGCACAAATACACTATTGTAGATCCACATGATGATGGACATTTCTTAATATCATACAACGGCTACACAAACCATGTCATACTATGACTACATGAGCCATGTTCTTAGAATAAGATTATTTCCCTAACAAAAATTTCTCATTTTATAATTTTGCCCATAGCTTTCGACTTTCATCCAACCAAGCCATAATAATTAAATTAAATACTAAATGCTATTCTTTTGTGATCTAAAACATACTAACATTTTATTTACACTATAAACATGCCACATATTTTACAAACTATCAAAACAACCCACTTTTGGTTAATTAATACAATTTGCTCCAATTTTGCATAGTTAGACACA